ATTTATGTTATTTCTGTGAAAAGGAGTGTGGTTTGTATTATGCCCTAAATGCCAGTTAAGTGTGAAATTGTTTGCCTGGGGAGTTCATGGGAGGCTAGCAAACAAGAAAACACTGGCAAAATGTGATCCGTGGGTCATCCGTGTATCTCTGGAATTGTTAATGGGGGAAAAAGTAACCCAGTACCTAAAGGAGAGGAAGATGAGAAAGACCATCTTAAGGGACCTGGTGGCGCTGTGGGTTAAACTGCAGAAGTCTCTGTGCTTGCAGAGCCAGAAGACCAGCAGTCGTAAGATCGAATCCACGCGACAGAGTGAGCTCCTGTCGCTTGTCCCAGCTCCTGCCAACCTAGCGGTTCGAAAGCATGTAAAAATGCGAGTAGATAAATAGGCACCACCTCAGTGGGAAGGTAACAGTGTTATGTGTCTAGTCGTGCTGGCCACGTGACCACAGAAACTGTCCTCAGACAAAGACTGGCTCTATGGCTTGGAAACAGGGATGAGCACCGCGCCCTAAAGTCAGACACGACTGGACTGAACGTCAAGGGAACCTTTACCTTTTATCTTAATTTGCAAGGATGGATGGAGGTCTATCCTTTCCTAGGTTCTGAGAGCTTAAAAGTGAAGGAGAAAGAGATGACAAGAGGTCCAGGTAAGGGAATATCACCTTGAGATGGCATCAAATCCACATTGCAATTTCTGGATTCAAAGAAAAGATACTATGATTAAGCTAGGCAAACTCCTGGAAACACGTACATGTGTATAATATATATTGGATAATGACATTCAGATAAGATGTGCTGAAGAGGTCATACATGATCTCTATCTAGCCCGAAGTATAGAAGAATATTTCTGGGGTGGGGAGAAGAAAGAGATTGAGCATTCGTGGATTGAGAGGTTCTATGATAAGTAGGGTCTTCAAAAGTAAAAGTTACTGTGTGTACATATATGTACATATATCTGGCAGAAATCTCTTAATTGCATTGTTGAGGAACTGCAAACTGTTAGTGATCTGCTTAAGAAATCTAACAAGATAGACTTTCCATCACCATTACTGTTGTTTAATGGAAATAGGTTTTTAATATATTTATTTAATTGACTGCCAAAGTTGGTCATTGCCTGTGAGATACAGTAAAGCCCAACCAGGAGCATGTTTTAGAACAGTGATCTCCAAATTTTTCACATGGAGGCCCACATAATATATTTGTGGTATTTTCGAGGGCTGAAAGAATGTGCGCACATGCATGCACTCCCGCCCACCCACCTGCGTGCACATACACACTATCGTCCACCTGCCTGCATGCACACCTGCACTCCCACCCTCCCACACACACACACACAACTGGATGCACTCATGCCTGCCTGCATGCATGAACAGGCCAGATAAAAAGGCCAGCTGGGCCAGGTGTGGTTTGTGGGCCATATTTTGGAGGCCCCTTTTTTAGAAGGTTGTGAATCTCACTACAAATGTATGGTTAATTTGCAATGATATCCCAGCTAAAGCAATGAACTTCTGTTTTGCTGGAGATCTGATGCTTTTTGCTGCCAACCCTGAGCCTTTGGAACCAGATAAGACAATGAATATAAATGCATGTTTAATGCTAATGCATCTTCAGTGCAACTAGCTTTCAATGATGGATGTAAGACAAGGTTTGTTGGAACAGTGGGGAAGGAAGGCAGAAAGAAACCAGGTGGCAGTCCTTTGACCAATGTGGAGAGACAGGGTCCCTGGGGATTAATATCGCCTGTTTCATTCCTCTCACCCAGACTCCCAGCACATCATGGAACTATATTCTGTTTGCTGTCCTGCCCTACCTGAGAGAAGAAGCATATTGCATGTGTATTGCTGTCTTCAGAGGATATAATATGGGAGGAGCTCATTGGAAAAGAAATGTTGGGAAAAGTCAAAGACAACAGGAAAATCAAGTGAGAAATGACCTAGTAAAGGAAGCCAAGACCTAGAGTTTGTGTGAGCCAAGCAGGGCTGTTGATAAAGGAATTTTTGGAGGTCACCAATTGATAAGGTTGCCATTGGTCAGAAGGGACTTGGGGCCAAAGAACAAGGTTCCTGGTTCATCAACAAGCATCTTTCTAAACAAAGATGAGTAACTCCCTTTATGAGCCTGCCTAGGTGTTAAGATCATGAGGGGAGGCCTTTCTCTCAGTCACCAGTGCATTTGATGGGTACACAGGAGAGGGCCCGTCTCTGTTGTTGCTCCAAGACTCTGGAACTCGCTCCCACAGGAGGTCAGATTGGTCCCATCTGTCCTTTCACAAGCAGGCAAAGAAATTTCTCTTCAAGCAGGCTTTTCCTTAGTGACTGTCTGAGAGGGTTTTTTAAATGGATTGTTCTGCCTTGCCGATTTTAATGTGTTTGTTAGTATTGATTTTATTTGCTGTTTTTACTATAATTCTTTTTAATATTTATATGCCTAAAGCAAAAAGCATGCTGCTGATATACCAACCCATAGCACTTAAAGCACTCTGTGCTCAGTTTACAGTTTAATTATGCAGGTTACAAATTGCTTCTTGCCAGCAAGCTGGATCCTCAGTTTACCAACCTTGGAAGGGTGGAAGGCTGAGTGAACCTTGAGCTGGCTACCTGGGATCGAACCTGGATTGTGAGCAGAGTTCTGGCTGTAGTACATCAGTTTAACCACAGGGCCACAAGGCTCCTCCTTACTGTTTTTAGTTTTTAAATATTGTATTTTTTTAAATGATGTAAAGCTGCCTTGTGTCCTTTTTAAGGAGAAAGGCAGTGTACAAAAATTAAATAAACAATAAGGCATGGGTATTGTTATTTCTATATCGTCTGAAACCATGAATTTCCAGTATTCATCTGTGATGATCTGGAGTCAGGGGTGTATTTTAAAAACAAGTGATATCGTAAGTTCTGCTTCAGTGCAAAAAGAGAGAGCGGGAGACAAAGAGCAGATTTTCATAGAATGGAAAGTGACTTGAAACAGTTTTCTCGCTATATATGCATATTTCTTTTTTATCCCATTGTCATGTTTTTGAAAAGCACGGAAATCCTACTTGCAAACCATTTTAGCACCACGATTAGCGATCCAGCTTTCAAACTTCCCGGCTTTTGGCCACATCTGGAGGGCGCCGGGTTGAGGGGACCTGCTCTGTTCTGTACCACGCTTTGGCTCTAAGTAGCGTTACGTCTACGTTTTAGGCTGCAGAATGGGTTAACCTTAGCTGAGAGGATAAGGTCGAAGCGATTATATAGGCTATATATGGAGGTTTATGCGGTCCATCAAACGTGCAAGGAAAGCAGTGCTGAATTATAAAACTGTTCGGGAAGAACATGGCAGCCTTGGAGAAATCTTGAGGACGAAAGTTGGCGAGCGGGAGAAATGCCCGATTCAGCCCCAAACCACTAACCCTCCCTTCTCTGTTCCTGTTTCTACCGGTGTGACCGTGTCCTCCTGCTCGCCCCGTCTTGACGCTTTTTGGCTTCATCGCGTTAGCTAGAAGGCTGGAGAAATAGGCATCTGTTAGTATCTGGGACTGATCAGGCAGTGTGAGGGGCAGTGTAGTCCCAGCCACGTCTACTCGAGATCAAGTGCCACTAGTGTCACCGGAGGACCCGACTCCCAGGGAGGTTGTTGCAGGAGACTGCGGGCTGTGGCGGAGTCGGGGTGGGGTGGGGTTGGGGGGGGCGTCTGGAGCCACCCATACCAGAACAACTCCCCACTGCCGAGGTTTGAGAGAAGAGGGATCGCCTCTTGCTCTTCCCAAATGCCATCGCAACCGTTGTGGGGCGAACAGGCCGAGTGCTTCCAGTTGGAGAGAAAGACTGAAGACGGAGCGTTCCCCCTTTCCTTCTAAAAGCTGTGTTTTCTGTTTCTCTCTCTTCCCACCCCCCCCGTCCCTTGATTTCGTAGTTCGGGCTTCGTTGGCACCGAGCCATCTTGGCCTACCACGCTGGGCATCCCTCCATCGTGGGTGGGGGGACCTGCCCTTCTTTCTTGACCCCGTTCGTGTGTGTGTGTGTGCGTGCGTGCGTGTGCAGCGCGCCTGCGTGTATTCCGTGCAAGTCGATGGCGGGGGATCGAAGATGAGTGAGCGCGCTCCTGGGCCGGATCTGTCGCTGGCATCATCAGTCCTACGGAGTGAAGGTCGCTGTGACCGGCAGAGTCATCCCCGGGGGTGGGGGTGGGGTGGCGACTCGTGTGGCTTCCGGGTGCGATACCAAAACGTGGGGACTGAGCTGGGAGAGAGAGGCCCCGATCTTCTTTCCCGAAACCCCCAGGCTCTACGTACAGGCAGGAGATTCCGTTGCCTCCCGTTGTCCTAAACATGGGGAGGGGGAAGGAGGTGAGGGGAATCACCCGTCGACTGGAGGGGGGACATCGCCCGGGCAGTGCTGGAGAGCACGTGCGCCGCATGCAGACGCTCTCTCTGCCGAGCGATCCCCGGGATCCTGTCCCTGAGAGGACCGACAGCCGTGCCCGGAAAACCCCTGGCGGAGCAGACAGTGGCCGGCCAGGTGGGCCGGGCTCTGCCTAGGATAAAGGAGCGCCTCCGAGTAGACCCTGCCGCCTGCCTTGCCCCGTTTGAATCGGGCCGCGTTTGTGATCGGAGTTGAGCTTCCCCGAACTTTGGGCTTGGCGGGGCTGGCCCCGCGGCCGCTCTCCGTGCCTTCCCGGCGCCGTCAATGGGGCGCCTGCGTCTCGCTGCCTTCGGCCCCCTTGGCCATACGCCCCCTGCCCTCGGCTATCCTCCAAGCCTCCGGGATCTTTCAGGGGTCGGGCACTTGCTCGGCCCGAAGCCCCGGGCCATCCAGCTGCCGGTGGCTTTCCTTGGCCCGAATGCCATTTGGCCGGGCGGGGCGGAGAGGAGGAGGAGAGCGACCCCGTTGTTGAGCGCAGTTAAAAGTGCCTCGGAAGAGAACGGGAAAGAAAAAGGGGGGAAATCGATGGTGCAGGGAAGGCAGGCAGGAGGCTCGCCCGGGCTGCTGCGGGCTCGGTCCCGGCCGCGCCGCGTTCCCGTTTTCCTCCGGAAGGCACGCCCGCCCGCCTGCCCCGCGCCGGCCCTCATCCCCGGCAGCTGCACCTCCCTCCCGCCGATCAATAAGCCTTTCACTTTTTGCCTCTTGTTTGTTCCGTGGGGAGCGGGATCGATCGGGGGGAGGGGGCGGCGGCTCCTCCTCGTTTCCGCTCCCCTTCGTTGGCCGCTCCTTCTCCAATTAGTCAGTCCTGGAGCCGCCTGCGGGCGGGGGTGGAGAAGAGGAGGAGGAGGAGGAGGAGGAAGAGGAGGGTGGCGGTGGTGGTGCCGCCGCCGGTGGTGCCATCCGTGTCCACCGGGCCTCGGCACCAGCCGGCGACGCGGGAGGATCGGCCGAACTGCTTGTCCGCCTCCCCCCCCCTCCCGCTCCCCCTCAACTTTTTCCTCTTCTTGGGCTTCTTCTTTCCCTCTCCGGTGAGGAAACGTGTGAAGGGCCGCCGAGATGGAAGGTAGGGCTTAGGAGCGAGCAATCCCCGGGAAGCTGCCTTGGACACCGGGGGAGGGAGAGGGACTCCCCCGGAGGAAGTGGGTGGCGGGCAAAAAGAGAGCGAGGCACAGAGAGAGAGAGAGACGGAGCCCGGTTTGAGAAGCTTCAGCAACCCGGAGCAGCAGCAGCAGCAGCGTCGAGGCACCGGAGAGGCAGCCCGCTTCGTTGCCGCCCTTTCTGGGCACACAGACTTTGCCAGCTGGTGAGCCATTCAAACAAGTGGCTCCAGCATCACTTCGGAGCGGTGGCTCTAGAGAGCGAGGAGGCTCCCGCTGCCCAGCCCTGCCTCCTTCCTTTGCCTGCTTTCCTCGCCCTTGCTCCCTCTCCGGCACTAACGCGCTCTCCATACACCCCCTCCGCCGCCCCCACTCCCCTCTTTTTTTTTATTATTTGAGGATGAAATAATGTTGACATGCCTTGAATTATTAAGTATCCCCTGGATTTTATTAGCCCACGATGCCTAAATGCTGCCTGTATCTGGTGGGGTCTTAACCGGGCGTGCAGAGGAGCGGCAGCTCACACAGCGGCACAGGGAGCGGCGGGCAGCGCTGACAGCCGGGCGTGTGCAGATCAGCCGGCGGAAGCACCAGGAGCGGATCCCTAGTGAGACAAGAGCCAAGCGAGGAGCGCCTGGGAGACTGGGGCCAGGTTCCCCGGTCCTCCTCCTCCTCCTCGGCCAGCCTTCTTCACCTCCTCCTCAGGGCTTACTAATTTAGGGGCGTCCTGCAGCAGCCAAGGGAGAGCGGCTGGTGCCGGGCACCCCAGGCTCCCGCTGCCTCCCCTCCCTGGGGGGGTAGCGTGCTGCCTGGTGCCTCGGCACAGATGCCGATTGAGATTGTCTGCAAAATCAAATTTGCAGAGGAGGATGAGAAGCAGGCGGCGAAAGAGGAAGGGGACCAGGAGAGCTTGCTAGAGGAGCCCAGTCGGCCGCACCACCGAGACCTGGCCGCCTTCGCTGGATCCAGCACCTTGCACGGCCTCGGCCATATTTGCCGCTCGGGGCAGCTGGGGGTCCGGCAGGCCCTCTGGGCCCTTGCGTTTGTGGCCTCCCTGGCCTTCTTTCTGTACCAGGCCGCCCGGTCAGCCCTCTTCTATCTGGAGCATCCACACATCACCACCCTGGATGAGGAAGCCACCCAAAAGATGATCTTTCCCGCTGTCACCCTCTGCAACATCAACCGCTTCCGCCACTCAGCCCTGACGGATGCTGACATCTTCCACCTGGCCAACATGACTGGATTGCCACCCAAGGACCGTGACGGGCATAAGGCCTCCGACCTCCTCTACCCTGACCCAGACATGGCCGACATTGTCAACCGCACTGGGCACCAACTGGACGACATGCTCAAGAATTGCAGCTTCAGCGGGGAGAACTGTTCGGCAGAGAACTTCACCGTGGTGAGTGTCCACTCTGCTTTCTCATGGTTGTTCCTGCCCATCCAACATGGATGAGGATAGAAGCCTTGTTGGTACCCAGCTTTGTGACAGAGATGAGCTTCGATTCCAAGGTCCTTTCTTGATTTCAAGGTGGTTTTTTTTTGGGGGGGGGAGGCTGGAGTGAGTTCAGGCAGGGCATGGACCTGACAGCCTGTGACAACAATGAGCAGTGGTTCCAAACTTTGGGCAACCCTGGTCTTCTTGGGCTAAAACTCCACCACTAGCTGTGCTTGCCAGGATTTCTTGTAGCCCAAGAACATCTGGCAACCCAAGGTTGGGAACCACTGCTTTTAGAGCATGAGTGGTAGGATGGCAGGTCTACCAGTCACTGGGTGCCATTTATAAGTAAGCTAAAAGAGAAAGGAAAGAAACAGGGACATAAGTTGACAAGCCTCTGAAGGAATCATCTGCTTCAGAGTTTGTACAGTTTTTTTCCTTCTCAGGTACATGGCCACATATCCTGAAGAAGAAGGCAAGGAGAGTGGCAAGCAGCTTAGGAGGGAAGCCACAGTCTCCCAAGGTACTTAGAGAAGGCAAGAAGGGCACAGGTAGTTGCTGAATGCAGTTGTTGGGTACCAGCATTTTGGCCCTTGGGCTGGAGCTTCGGTGCTTTCTTTACTTAGAACCCACTGTGGCACGGCCACCCTCTCAGCCTGGCAGCTACTCTACCATCATCTTGGCATTTCTGGCATGGTTCCGCTGGCATTGTCAAGGAGGCATCCTGCCAGGTGGAATGAGCCAGCCCTGCGCTTGCTCTAATATTGAGTTGGAAAATCACAAATCCCTGCTGTGGTTTGGGGAAATAAATGTGCTGAGCGGGCGGAATACCTGATGGGACCCTTTTCAGTCCGTAATGACTCTGGAAATGAGCTGCTTCTCTCCTGCAGATACCGGAGGCTACTTCGCCTCCTGATCACTGTGTGCAGAGGGGCGGAAAAGAGGGGAATGGCAGAGGGCAGGAACAGACCTGGAGAGTGAGGCTTGGAGAAGAGGCAGAAGCCGGCATGAACACACACATGCCAAGTGGGTCAAAAAGATCTGCTTCCTGGCCAGGACTGTCACACGGGCTCTCTTCTGGCCCCAAGCCTCTACTAGGATAGGAGATGTCTGGCATAGCACCACCGGAGGGAACACAAGCATGGGAACCCATGTGCAGTCCTGCCCAGCAATTAAAGGGCAAGTGGTATCTGAATGCCAGGCTAGAGGCAGGTGCAAAAGACAACCGTGAGTGAAAAGTGACTCCCGGTATTGTGCTCAGAGAGCATATGTCCCCATCTTCCAAACAGTGCGCTCACTCTCAGCATTGAGAAAATTCTGCATTTGGTATACATTGGGCAAGTGCAGCCCTGGGCACCTCTACAATTTATTACCCCCTCTGCACCCCACGGGATTCTGAGGGCATCTATGCAGATGTGGGAGAGAGGAAACCAAACAAACAGTTATTATACTACAGCTCCTGTGACTGATGTGCAGCCACACAGGGGCTGCCAATTTCTTGAGAATAACAGCAAGAGAAAGAAGGGGATGTTTAACTCCCCCCCCCGCCCCCATATCCCTCCACTCTGCTGTCTGCCATACAAAGGAAAAATGTAGATATGTATTTCCTCCCCCATTACTTCAGTAAGCAGATCTATGGGGTGGGGGTGGATTTTTATTGGAAGAATGGTACACAGTAAGTACCCCTTCCTTTCTCATACTGCTTAAAAGAAATTGGTAGCCCCTAGGCTGGTTTTCACTAAAAAGCAAACCAAGGATTCAACAAATAAATGATGAGAAAAACTGTAATGGTTCTCCTAGGTATATTGCCTGTACATGGTACCTTTTAGCCCTGGGAATTTCACTAGACATTGGCTGGATATTTGAACCTATTTTACCTTCTGAAGAGCTAGAAACTTGGGTCACTCTTGTTTTATAAATGAAAGCTTTGATTTCTTAGGATGCTACATTCTGACTGAGGAAAAGATTTTGTACTTTTAACAACAGAGGGAGGGAGGCAGACACGTTCACAGCTTCTTTGGGGGCGCTGTGAAGGAGAACATTGATGAATGGGGACATCCCTCTAGTGGAATCCCAGTGCCAGAGGCCAGGGCTTGAACAACCTGTGTCCCTTTGAGGGCATCACATTCCAGAGGGCAGTAAGACAACTTTTGGGGAATTCAAGCAGCAGTATGGGACATTACCTGTCTTTGCTTTTGACAATTTTAATGGCTACATCTCCGAAGCATTGGTAGAAATTAAGGGATATGGGGCATGAAAGAGGAAGACTAGTTGGCAAGATGATTCAGAAAGGACACAGGGGAGGCTGGCATGGATCAGGTTCCCCTTTGGAAAAAGCTGCGGCTGCAACTATCTGCCGATGCCATGGTTGTTCTCTCATCTTGCCGCTCAGCTGCTTGCCACTTGCGCGTCGTTGCATCGCATGATGAATCCCCTTTAAAAGATTCTGTAAGTAAGAGCTTCGCTCAGTAAATGATCTCCCTCTATTTAGCGTCACAAATCCACATTCTTTATGGGACGGCAAATTAAGGGGCCGCCAGGGGAAGATTCCCCAGCGTAAGCATCTCATGTGCAGTAAAGCCCGGCTAGCGTAGTAAATCTTTGAGGGCCATTTGCTGAGCTGTAGCTGAGCTTCTCAGCATCAGCCTAACCGCCAGTGACCGCTACTTGGCTGGAGTGGAAGGGTGCGCCTGACAGGACGGGGAGGGATGCGGGGTGTATGTGTGTGCAACTTGTGTCGGAAAGTAGACTTCTACCAGAAGACCTGCTCCCTCCCTATCCCCATTGCCCCATGATGGCTGCTGAATGGATCTCTGTGTGTGAACTCTGTGTCTTACACCCAGGTCTCTGATGCTGCTTGGCTTTTTGTACTCAGCTGGGCAGGGGATTCCCTGGCAGCCTTGCCTCCCCCTCCTCTCCCACGCTGCCCTCCATAGCACCAGCTGAGTGAAGTCACCCCTCTTAAGTTCTGTTTCTTCTTCAGCCTCTCTCTCTCCCCCCCCCCAGTGTCCCTGCAGCAAGAGCCACAAGGGGATAGACAACAATGGTTTGAACAGTTAACACCTTGGCTGTTTGGCCCTGTGCAGTCGCTCACCAGCCCTTTTGCCTGGAAGTGATAGAGTGTGTGCCCTCCTTTGGTTCCTGCTTCTGAGACAGCCACGTTAGGATGGGACCTGAACCACACCTAATTTCCTCTGGACAAGCAGGAGTTTCCTCCCAGTGGATGGAGGCTGCCAGGGACCGTCCTGTTCCCAGGACAGGGGACCTGATGGTCTGCTTCCCAGCTCTTGATTTCATCCCCCCCCCACCTCTTATTTGGGGAGTGCTAGGGTACCAAACAGCTTCTTTGGAATGTAAGATGCAACTGACGAAGAGGCTGTTAATGAAAGACACAGAGAGGTGGTAGAGGGAGCTGTGCTTGGGGGGGGCAGGTGCAGGGGGAATTTATGGAGATATGGAGGGGGTGCCGAGGCTCGCCAGCAGTGCATGCTCAGAAGGACAATTACCTAGCTGGCACCTGCTCTGCAGGGGTTCCACTTCCAGCATTTGGAGGGGACGCTAATGCATTTCTTTAAAAAATGGAATTGAATGTCAGAGGTGTGTACATGTGTGTGCATAGAATGTGTGTGTTTAAAAAAATGTCTTGCTACCCGTCACAATTTCCGGATGAGGAGGCATTTGGGGGAGAGGTTTAGTATGAACAATTGCCACATTGTATTCTTGAAGGCTTTCACGGCTGGGATCCAATGGTTGTTGTGGGTTTTCCGGGCTGTTTTGCTGTGTTCTTAAGGTTTTTCTTCCTAATGTTTCACCAGTCTCTGTGGCCGGCATCTTCAGAGGATAGGAGTGTGGCTGGAGGATGATCTCTCCCCAGCCACAAGGACCAGTGAGCATTGCACACAAAAGACCAGCTAACGACACCCATCGATCACAGTGACAGATAATCTCTCCCCCTTATCACAACAATACACCCACAACAAAAAAACACACTGATCACCATAATCACCCATCTCCTGAAAAGGACAAAAGCTGATCCCACAGCTATAAATATTCAACTATCCAACAAACTGCATCAGAGCACAGACAAAGTTCTGACTCCTGCCCTCTGAAAGATGCCAGCCACAGAGACTGGCAAAACGTTAGGAAGAAAAACCTTAAGAACACAGCCAAACAGCCTGGAAAACCCACAACAACCGATTGCCATATTCTCTCTCACATCATGTCATCTCTGGACCCAGGGTATTCGAGATGGGGACATCAGGACAGGAACTCTCTGTATTAGGAAAACACAGTCTATGGGCTTGTGTCACAAGTAACCACTAAGGAAGCAGAAGGGCGTGGGAAAGATTCCAGCGATATTTAGACATTGGTGGCCAAAAGCCACCAACCAGTTTTCAAGGCAAAGAGCTGGAGAAAAGCAGGGACAGTTGGGAAGGCTCTGATCACGGCTGAGCCAGAGACAGACTGTGCAAGGATCTTTGTAGTACAGCATTTGAGAGGGTTTTGGCAGGGGTGGCATTTGCTGCAACCACCAGCTTTGTCTGAGCTCCTCCTCAGCCTTGTCTTGACCGGGAGGACCTCAGGGTGGGAAGGGTAACTCAGGGTCAGGGTGTGTTGGCCAGTGTTGGTCCTAAGCATCCCAGGCACTAAAAAAGCAAGAAACCCTGCCTGGTGCATTAGGTGTCTGATGCACAAAGGAACACACATCTCCCTCCCTCCCTCCCTCTGTCTCTCCTACCCCACCCCTCCCCTAAATTGCTACTGCTCAGCCGGGCTTTGCTGCCGTCGTTCCCCAGCTGTATAATCAGCGGCACCCCGTCTCGGTGCTGGGGCTGGCGATGACCTTTCCTCCACAATCGTACTTAATAAATGTCACATTTTCCAGCCTATTTTTACTCTGGGTAAATGAGTTCCCTGCGCTGCCTCCCCCTCCACCTGCCGCCTCCTGCCTGCCCATTAGTCCA